GGGTCCCTCTGGGAGATGGGCTAGAGAAATCACTGGCTGGCCCAGGAATTGCCTCGCTGGCAGGAATTTGAGTGCAGATCTGATTGGTGCATTGTCCCTGTTGAGCTGGGTGAAGAGGAGCGTCATCTTCCACTCTTGCTGTTCGAACAGTGGGGCCAAACCCTTGGACCCACCCTATGGAGAACGCTTTGGGTGGACCAGACCTCTGCTGGCCCAGCCTTCTAGACGTTGTAGATGGGTTTTCTTTCATCTCCTTTGGGTCCTACTCCGCTCAGACTCTGCAGAAGCCCCTTGCAACAGGGGTTTCCTAGTCCTGCATTTGGTTTCCCCTGTGGCTGTCCAGGTGCCTTGGGGATTAAGCCGTCAAGCAATCCAGGGGAGAACAGGAGCAGCGTTTCCTGCTGCAGATTAAGCTCCGGTTCTATCGTGCCCAGAAAAGGATCACCTTGCCGGCAGGGCTTACGAAGTACTGTAACTGGAAAACTAGAATTCTTTAGGAGTAAAAAGCAGGAGGATTCTCAGGCATTCTCAGGGGGTGGAACCGTAGGAGGGTCTGGTTGGAGCGGCTAGCCAGTTTCCCAGCATTTAATTGGCCATTGCCTTGGGGAACCCCCACAACAGAGTTTGTTGGCTGTGGTGGGGACTTGGCTTTCTCTATGGCTACAGATGCAGTAGCTTTGCGGGGCAGCACAAGCAGATTTTGCAGAGCTCTCCATTTCAGCAAAATCTGGGGATTTTTTTTTAAAGCACCCTCTTAGTGCATCTAAGGGCTCGCACGTGGAAAAAATACAGGGGTGGCGGGGAGCACATTGGAGTTGGCAGTGGGCCCCATCAATCTGGGCAGTTCAGACTGATGGAACTACCACCCTTGCCCATGCAACCCCCACTCTCCAAATTGGCAGGGCCTTTTGAGCAGGAACACACGCACACCCCCATCGTCTTTGCACAGGGAGACGACTCAGTATGTCCTTGTTCCCAGTTGTACCCTCCTATGCTCTTCTACCACCTTGTCCATCTTCCTCTCATGCAGAAACCCTTTGGGGAGGGAAGAGGAAGGGGCCCGTTATTGTCATGCAGGCGGCGGCCACCCGGAGGCACCTCTGCAGTTTAGCTTAGCAGCCTCTGGCGCAGCTGGGCAATACATCTGGCAACCCAAGATTCCAAGGCTCAGCCTGTGAGCAGCGGCCTCCCCCCCCGCCCGTCCCCCCCCCACCGGAATCCAACCCTTCCGGAGTCCCACAAGAGCCATCTTGGAGAAAAAGCACTGCCAGCGAAGACAAAGACAAAAGCAGCCTGGAGCTCTCCTGACGTCAAGCAACTGCAGCGGGTCGGGGAGCTGGTCGGCCGCCAGCTTTCCGGAGCTCGGTGGACGTGGCGGGGCTGCCTTTTGCGGCTGCACTGGCTGAATGGCTGTGGCAGCTGGCGATTCTTCCCAATTGGAGCTTGGGGAATATGTGGGTTCCTCCGTGAAATGCGGGCTTTGGGGACAGCAGCCCTCCTTCCTCGCCCTGTGGCAGACTCGTACTGCATGGCCGAGGCAAGGCAGGCAGGGGGCGAGCAGAAGGAAAGCTCAAGGCTGGCTGGGCCCTCCTCCCCGGCATGCCGCTTCCTCCTCCGTTCCCCCCCAGCTGCTGTTCAAGGCACCGCAGAGGGGACTGCAAACAGCTCGAGCGAGGCCTTTAATCAGGCAACAGGCAACACCGGGTAAAGCCTCCCTCTGGCACCAATTTATTTTCCACCCACCCCACAAATCCTTTTTCTAACTGCAGCGGTGGTCCTGAAAGCACGCGGGCCCAGCGTGCTGAAGGTGGGGGGGGGCGATGCCCAGTATCCCTGGAAGTTTTGCAAATGTCTTTGCAGATACTTGATCTGAGCTGAGAATCCAGATGATCTTCCTAGAGAACCTGGACCTAGCCAGCCCTCCTGCAGTCAAGGGTCCAGGCCGGGGGCCTCAGGTTCTGGCAGGCAGGAGGGTGTCCCTTCAGGAGTGGCAGGAAGCGGGAAACCATTATTGTTTTTTGATTGACAAATGATAACCTTACGTTTGCTGTCTGGAGTGGCTAGGATGAGGGGATTTGGGAAAGACCCCTTGCAGAGCCTCCATATATGAACATTTGGGCCAGAGGGTTCGAGGCCGGTCTTTGAGGGCCATCCCACCCACCCCATCCCTCGTGTCCAACCGTGGGCTCAGGGAAGG